GGAATTTTTTGGGGGAAGGGCTTAGATGAGATTTTTTTGCATTTTGCATCCTCAAACACCCATGTTTTAGCCTTAGCCCACCAGCAGTTTCTACCTGCCTAATGCCTTCTTCAGCTCGTCGTCCTTGGATGGTTTCTTCTTGTTGTGGTTCCACAGTGTCGCCGCCGCCTCCGCCACGCCAAAGTTACCGAGCTTCAGTTGCGGTGGGTCTTTGGCGCCACCAACCAAGGTGTTGCAATTTTTGTTGAATCCTAGTGGTGTGGTGTATGAGAGGACTTCGGTTCTTCCATCTGTCAGCTTGAACAACTTCCCTTCAAAGTTGGTGAAGGCGAAGACGTACGTGTTGTTGTTGCAAACGGAAACCTTGGGGGCAGCCCCGCCCTTGCCTACCAACTCCTCTTCGGCTCACCATGGTGGAGGCTGGTTGTCCTTGGTCAGCTTGACCAGTAGCACGGCCGTTGTTTGACCTTCTCTGGATGTGGGCCCAATAGCTTGGCATGCATAGTCTACATGAACGTCGTGTATGAGTCGGACAGAACATTGAACTTCACCACTTCTTGAGGGCTACAACCAAAATAAAAATAAATAAAAGAGAGTTATATAATTATAATATTAAAGCGATACTAACAAAAGAATGTAATTGGGTAGAAAATGGTAAGATGTCTTATGGGAGAAAGGAGGGAGGACCACGAACTTCAGTAGGAAATGCAAAATGAGATACAGTTTTGCTAAAGCACATCTAGATGTGCTCCAAGTATTGCATATCTAAATCCGGTATTAGCAGGAGTTTTAGAATAGCTCTCGGTTGAACCTATTGAGCATCATCTAAGAGATAAGAGGAGGTAAGAGGATAATTCAATCCTAGCTGTTGATTGGTCGGGGCAATTTTGATCATACAAATATGGTAAGTACAACAATATATAAGCCGTCGAACACTGTAGTCTGTAGCTCTTTCTGACATTGCTCCGTTACACAAAGGGGGAGCATAGGACTAGAAGAGGCAACGAAATTCACATGTGGGCTGTGTCATTTTCATCATCACCAAACGTTGTTTGTCAAACTTCTGTTAGCAATGGTATATTGACATAGTGTATTGTCTCAATGGTAGATTGGTATCATTTTTTGCAATGGTACACTAATATTGTCTATCTTTTCCAATGGTGGATTTGATAAATATAAAATATTTTGCAATATGGAAGATATATAGTATCCATCTTTTCCAATGGTAGATTGACATTGTCTATCTTTTCCAATGGTAGATTTATAAATATATCATATTTTACAAGATGGAAGGTTTATATTATCTATCTAATTTTCCAATGGTAAATTGATAATTTTCCCCCAAAAATTGTATACCCATCTGTGCTACCGTGTATAGTTGCCAGCCAAGCGCTAAGTAGATGCAAAGCATGAGTATGAGAGAGTCTAAAGTAATTATATTCTGCATTTAAGCTTGTTGCTTTGTTAGAGCGGCACAAAGTAAGTAGATGCAAACTATCTATGGCTCTATTCATATAGCTCTATTTCGAATCACCAAACAGAAGTGTCTGGGTGGTGTAGTTGGTTATCACGTTAGTCTCACACACTAAAGGTCCCCAGTTCGAACCTGGGCTCAGACATCTATTTCATTTTGTTTTTTGCCTTTTTTTTTCTCCAAATTTTGTGTTGGTTTGTACATTTTACATTTTGTTCGAACTTCCAGCATATTCTGCTTCACGTTTCTAACATACGAACCTAGTCTCGGGCACTTATTTCCTTTTCATTATTTTTGGTAAAGTTCGCATCGTTTCGGTTTTGTCATATGCTGTATGTTTTAACATCCATCAGATCTTGCTTCACATTTTCAGCAAACTTATAATCTGCTATCTGGAAGAAGAAGAAAAGTGCGGCAAGCCCCAAAATTCTTTTTTATGCAGTTTTCAGCTTCTCCATTTTCTTTCCTTTCTGTATATCTAAGAATCAGTGAGCTTGATTTTTTTTTTTAAATTCAGTGAGCTTGCAGTTTTTTTACAGGTAGTACCTCAACGAATCTAACTTCTCTGGTCCACACATATACTCCCTCTGTTCCTAAATATATGACATTTTTTGAAGTTCAACCTCTGTTCCTAAATATATGACATCTTGTTTTTGCAGTTCAAAACGTCTTATATTATTATGTTGCAGATTCAGTGGCAAGTAATCTACCCGACAAGACCAATGTGACGGCTTGTCAGATTTACAAGTCCATCGACAAAAAAAACAGTCCCCACGCTCACCATGCCATAGATATCAAAGACAAAAACAATAATTATTCGCTAATATAAATAGGAGGAACAACACACATACTATTTAGTATTTGGTAGAAGACACCCAAGGATAAGTTCATAGGGGCTCCTCACAATGGTTAAGTTCAGCAAGTAGGACGCCTCACAATCACATACATTGATTGGGCTACCATATGCTAGCACTCGAAGAATCATGCCGCTCACTCTTACAACACCAATGATAGCTATAATACCGCTCGTGCAACACCAATGAATCAGCTCAGGTGGCCTAAATAATCCAAGGTCGAATCACCCTCTTAACCTAAGAACGGCGCATCCGTTGCTGGAAGTAGAAAAAAGCGACGTCGACTAGTTTCCGTTGATGGCACCATTCGAGCTTACTAGGACTGGAGCCCTCTTCTGCGCAAGGTCCGCTTCCTCTACTTCTGACAAGAAACCGTTCTCAAAGAATGCCGAGTGGAGGGCTTGCACGCACTGCTTCGCCTCGCTGTCATTCACCACCAAGGAGATGTTCACCTGCTCATATGCACAGTTAGAAACCGTCGTTCCCTTTGACATGTGTAGAAAACAAAGTTCGTTCCATTTTGGCAAAGCAGGTATTATACCTTGGACGCCCCTTGCGAAATCATCTGAACATTAACACCATTTCTGCGTAGAACATTGAACGCCTGGCATGCAAGCAGTGAATGTAAACGCTATAATGCAAAATGATCAACTGAAGCACTTAAAATATTTGGTGAGCATTCTAACGCATTACCACATCGTGCATTATGTTAAGATAAAGATTGCGTAGTCGTACCTTCTCAAGAATCAGAGACGATCTCTGCACATTCCCTATCAGGGAAATGATTGATCTGTGCTGTAGGAGATGAACAACCGCAATCTTTTCAAGCTCTTCAACTACATGATCAAGCTCCTGCCACATCATCGCCACAAAACAATGAAACAAGAGCATATATAAAAAAACACAGCGGTAGGACAGTCCCAAGCAGTATTGTTGGCAGAGAACTGAACATAAAAGTGGAATAGGGTCCCAAGTTTTTACCTGCTGGATCAATTCACGACTCCACAGTTTTGATGGATCTAGTGTCAATGATATGCTGACTTCACTAGTAGCCACAGAATCAACAGAGATACCCAAATCTTCAAATATTGAGAAGACCTGCGCAAAAACAATATAGTAAGAAAAAAACAGATATAACTGTAGGAAAAAGGGGCCACAAGACTGTTGCTATGTTTACCTTTGCAGAGAAGACCTGCATAGAAAGTCAAAAACGGCGTACAATAAAAGAAAGTGTATAGCTATAGGGAAAGAGAGCCACAAGACTGTTGTTATTTACCTTTGCTAGAAAGCCATACTGTCCGAGCATCCTTGTGCTCACTATATCCAGCATGGTAATATTTGATTTCAGGACAATGCTGGTTAATATGCTCTGCAAAATAATGTCCAATCAGGCATCAGTAGCAATTGCACATTGACGAATCAAAATGTACTGACACAGTCATGTAACAAACCTTGCGCATATCTCTTGTTTTAGTGATCACAGTGCCAGGTGCATGACGGTTATATGAGTTCTTCACTCGAACTGGGATACCACCTTCCCTGGCTGGTCGCATGGATTGGGGATGCAAAACCTAATAGTTGGTGGACGTATTTGAGTAAGTGTTATATAATGGTAGAACGATACTTGCTAAATCACCTAGTAACACAAGAAACACATAGAACAAAAAGTATCAATGCTGTAAAGGTCCCAGCTTACACACCCAACCCCTGAACCACAAAACTAACTAATTTTGAAATGCCAAGAATTGAGAATAAACATATATTAGCATTTTCTAAGGTAATAAGGTGCAACAGCAAAGCTTCCACTATTCAGTCAACAAGTAAATAAACAAGGAATACCTGTGCACCAAAATAAGCAAGTTCAGCTGCCTCATCAAAAGTCAAGTAGGGTACTGGTACCGCGTTTGCATAAATATTTGGATCACACGTCAACACACCGTCTACATCCTTCCAAACCTGTTGCAGATTTCAAAAATTGAGTTACAGCTCACAGCACAGCAAAATATAGCAGATGCACTACAGGTCCACCACTATTCATAGCTTAAGTTTATTTGGTTAAACATCTGGACAACTTAGCAGCGGAAGCATAATTAACCAAATCCAAATACAAAGCTTTTGGACGCAGCTTAGAATGTGGAGTTTCAGTAGCAACTGGCCTTTCATCAGATAATTCAAATATAACACTCAAATAGAAAACAAACCTGAATTTCTCTTAACCCCAAGGCTTTGCCAATGGTTGTAGCGGTCAAGTCACTGCCGCCCCTTCCTAACGTTGTGACCGCACAAGATTTCCATCCCTGTTATTTGTATGGCATGATTATAATCACAAACAAAGCAAAATGCTCTTGCGCATGAATGGCATAACATTACACACCTTCCCAAGGAAACCAGTCACTATAGGAATAGCAGGGTCATCAATCCAATCTCCATGTAGCCTCTTTGCAACAGCAGGATAAGTTGCTTCGAGAATATCGGCATTTGTGAAATCGTCAGTGGTTATAAAGCCAAGATCAAAAGCATCATACTGCAAACAAGAAAAATAATAGTTAAGACATTGTTGGAATGAAATATCATTGTTATTTGTGGAACATATCTAATTACAGGTAGTTGTGAAATTCATTATATGCTCCAACCCAATGTCAGATAGTTGTGGGCTAAAGCAACTTTTGTCAACAATATAGGCATCCATATGCACTAGGGCATAGCCAGGAGGTTTAACTGCAGTAGTGTATAGAAGAACAGATTTAACTCTCGGTCATACCCTGCTAATATGAGATGCAAACTTACCACCTTTCTCAACTCCCTCACACTTGGATATACCCCCAGAGAGCTGACTACTTTCCACAGTTTGGATAGCCAAGTGGCGGACAGGCATACTACAGGTTTTTTCCCAACCAAGCTGTGGGCTATCATCATATCTACTAACAGCATATTCATACAGCAAGTTCATCTGACTCGTTGCATGGCTGGGACCTTTTGGTAGTTCATGGAACCAATGTTGCCGTATTGCGGTACAATTAATCAACTTGACGAAATTAGTTTCATCAGTCAACTAGAAGCAGAAGCAACAGAATATATACAAGGAAAGACTCAGGAGTTCATTTTTCCATGCTAGCGACATACAAATAACCCCTTCTGGACATATTCTGTCTAAGTGCATTACTTTCAACAGGTCCAAACATTTATGCTGCAAAACAAAGTTGTAACCAAACCATTGTTTATAAGGCGACCTAAGGCGAGCAGCACCCGCTCTAGCGCCTAGGCGGACGCATAAGCGCCTAACGTGGGCATATTTGTAAGGCGCTGCCAGGGCGCCTTCTCGCCTAAGCGTCTAAGGCAGGACTCCATAAAAACAATGAACCGAACTACTAAATTGTTGCTTGCTAGAACAGAAGTATGTACCTGTCGTGCCTTCTTCCCTAGTTTATTCAAATATGCAGAAAATATTCTTGTAGACATGCATTCACCAAAGGAAACAAGGTAATCTCGTGTCCTAAGAGTCAGCTCTTTCATCATAGCAACACCCTTGAGCAGTTGCTCCAACTCGTCCAAAAAACCTGTTGATTGAACAGTGAAAATGTGTTGTTTGTATAGTACTCCCTCCATCCCAAAATTCTTGTCTTAGATTTGTCTAAATACGGATGTATCAAGTCACATTTTAGTATTAGATACATCCGTATCTAGGCAAATCTATGACAAAAAATTTAGGACGGAGGGAGTACTACAGAAGACACTTTCATGAAAGACGAAATGAATGCTAAAAGTGCTGAATTAGCCCAAAAGATGCAAGTCAACAAACAACGGCTAAATGCTAAAGAATCAATGACCACAGCTTGTGCTGGTGTTACGAATAAGGATCCAGCGTACCACACTTCAGATTGTCTGAATTTTTATGTGTTGGGGAGCACATCAACTATGGGACTTTCAGGTTTGAATTACTGACCATTTCACATGCTCTATATCTTCCACATTAGTCAAGGGGTATGTGCGTGAACTGAAATTTGCATGCCACGCTTGCTGTGTTTACATTAATCCAATGTTTTATGTAGATTTTAGAAGATAAAAAATCTATATTAACAGAGCTTGTTCCACAGGGAAATCTGCGACGCATTGTGAAACTGATTGAACATCATTAGTAGACCACTAATTTGTTCAGCTGTACACTGAGGTCAATGTATTAAATAATGTCATCCAAGTGAGGGGGGGAAAGTTAAAAACCAACTGTGGTCCAACCACTAATCTATAGAATACAAAAGCTGTCCCTATTGAATATAGAACAAAAAGGCTGAAAAGGATGTGAATAGATGACAATGACCTCCAGGCTTCTCACCATCATACATAATTTAAAGGGAAAATGGGTGTATCTATGTTCATTTACAACCCACCATCGAAAATGGTGGCACACCACGACAGAAGAAAAAAGAGAACAGTTTGTGTAGCTAAAGGAAAAAAAGATAGATGTCCCCATCAGGATAAGAGCAGCTTAAGCAGACCGGACCCTTACTTATTGTACATAAAAAACTTGGTGTTGATTGATTCTCACTTCATCATGTGCAAAAAACGCAGACACAGCCTGTGGTATTAATAGATCCTTCTATGGCCTTTTATAAAATAATAAGCTATGGTCTGTATAATTTGGGCCACCAGGACCTCAAAATGGGAAACATTCTGCTGACACTCAAAATATACATTCACTGGCTTAAGAATTCAAATTGCCAGTATTAACTTCATATTATGAAAATGGGTAAGGTGGGCATTGGGTAATTCTATGAACCAAAAACCTTGTCGTTCCTCAATTATCCCAAAGTGGAAAGAATATTTGCAGAGTTTTCAGCACAAGGAGATGGTCAGATAAACAGAAAGATGTACTACATAGGGATTGTGTGCAAGGACACAGATAGGAAAATGGACGCTGAAGGGGAAAATCAGATGCAAGCCAAAACAGAAGTCTTACTTAATCTTCTTAAAACAAACAGAACAGACATATTAAACAGAAAGATTCAGCTACTTTATGGAATTACTGATGAACCCCAAGTGGCGAAAGGCGATTTTACTTGCTTATCATTCGGTGGGTGGATCTCTAACTACCAAAGAAAAAGGCATGACTTGGAGAATTCCATGTTAGCTTTGCAGAACAAGTATTGACTTTGAGCCAACAACTGAAAAAGGGGAAAGCAACCGTGGCATACCTGAAACAATGGAGCTATCTAGGCCAAGCTCATCGATGGTCCTGAGCAGAGCAAAGCAGCGAACACTCAGGATATGCACACTCCCAAACCAGGCTTGAAGCAAAAGGGGATCGCAAGATCGCAAAATCAAGACGCACCTGAGATGGAGCTCCTTGATGACGGCGAGCTCGTCGATTTCCGACGCCTTGGGGGCGCCGCAGCTCACCGCCTTCTCTCCGGCCTACACAGGTCCAACACCCAAGCAAATTCAGCACGGAACGGAGCCACCGAAAGGCCAGAATTTTCACGGAGCGGGAAATGGCAACAACAGCAGTACCAGGAGGAGGTTGTTGGTGGTCTTCCCCATGGCGGAGAGGACGACGACGGGCGTCTCCTCGGGGAAGCTGAGGACGAGGTCGGCCACCTCCCGCATCCGCGCGGCCGACGCCAGCGACGAGCCGCCGAACTTCATCACGACGGTGAACCCCGCCGCTGCCCCGGCTCCATCCGCCGCCTCGCCCTTCCTGATAGTGGTGACCGCCGCTGCGGCCGCCCCGCTCTGGCAGCGGAGCACCAGCCCCCTCCGCGCACAGCATTGCCCACCCGGCCTAGCGATGGCGCACAGCGAGGCCCTCTCCCTCCCGAGCTTGGAGACGGCCGCCGGAGAGTCCCGCGCGAGACGCAGCGCGGTCGCCATGGAGATGTCCGGATCTCTTGGCTCGGGGCCGGACGCAGAAACTCGTGGACGCCGCGGTTCGGGCGGGCCGGGGAAGAGACGGGCTGGACGGGCCCGGCGGCGTCGATCTGCTGGCGCGGGAGCTCCGTGGAAGTGGCCGGCGGCGGAGGACGCGGTCGGGGACGGCGGCGGGAGGCGAGGGCCGCGACGGCGGGGCGGGGGTGGGAGGGCGAAACCCTAGCCGCCGCTTGTCGCGCACGGGGGAGAGGGGGAGAGAGAGGGGGGCTAGCGGCGGCGCAAAGCTTCGGGGGGTGATGAGGAGAGGAGGAGAACCCTGCGGCTGCGGGCGGCCGGGGGTTTGGTGGTGGCAGCCGCAGGTAATTACTTCGCAAAGCCGGGGTGCGTTTTTGGAAATGGGGTGCTTTTTCTGTGGGAGGGACTATAATTCAAATTCAAATGAATCGCATAATTATGATGTAAAAAAGTACTCCCTCTGTCAGCTCGCATAAACGTCTCATATTTAGTGACGATGTCTACATGTTTATCACGAAGAATCTTGAAGAAGAGCGCCATCAACAAGTAGGGTTTCACCTTTTAGGATGGACACTTCACACGGTGGGAGATGAGGATAGCCTATGGACTGAAGTTTCATACACTTGTACGAAAATACCTATTTTAGTTGCACCTAAACTTCTTAGTGTTGAATTCTAGATGTCTTTGTCAAATAGTTTTTGCTAGATCCATGTGTTATGAAAGCACTCTACCTGCGTTGATATTTAGTGACATCACTAGAAACTACACATATAAAAGCACATTACTAGGACACCAAGAAATGGAGTTGTACTGAAGCTCATTGTAGCAAACTATTTTTTAACAACCCAATATTGATTCAATTTAGCACTAAAATATATTTGTAAAATAAGTAGGTGAACTATTTGGTCAAATCTGTAATCTAATATAAGAGGATTTAATTTTTTTTAATGATATTGGTTATACCAAAGAATGATGTCTATGTAATATTATCAAATAATGTGGTGATAAAAACAACATACATTAGTATATATTTGAGTATGATTTGTTAAAATGGTTTGATATAAATAGAAAATCCGCGTCCACGGCTTACGACCTCATGTCAATGGCTGGCTACACGATCAAAGATACAATATGGTACATTGATTTGTTCATTGGTTATTGATTATAAGAAGATTTTGTGGCATCCCTGTCTCTTGGGGGAGTTTTTTAAAAAAAATCTCTCGGGGTAGTTGGTAGCCTGATATTCAGGTTTATTTTGATTCGTTTATTTTGCCTCAACTTTCACCATCCCCTCGTCTCACTTCCCGCCACCCTTTCTCATTGGATCTTTCTCACTCTTATTAGAAAAACCAAATCACATTAAAGAGTATAAGATCTTGTTTCGTGCTTGCTTTGGCATGTGGTGATTTAATTCAATCACGCAAAAAAAATAAGTAATTGAGAATTCAAAAATCACATCATATATGTGAGATCACCTTGCTAAAAGATAGGCATAAGAAATTTTTCTGAATAACCTTTCAATGTGCTTACATTTATCATTGTTATTATCTCTAATATTAAATAAGAATCACACTTTACCAATACAACAAAAATGACATATATATTTACTTATCTTACCAAATATATTTTTGTATCTTACCAAATCACATATATCTCTACTATTAAAGTGAATTTGGCAGGCCGATACACACAGTTTAATTTTGTCTACATGGTTTATTTTCACCTTCACCTTCCACCACCACCCCCCATACTAGTTTTTCCTATGTTGCACATTTCCAACAATTTTCTCCCAACTAAACCCTACCTTTTGTTTTCTATACCAATTTTTTGACCTTCCTTCTTATCTCATCTCTTAAAAGGGGAGTTCGTAGCCTGGTATCCAAGTTTATTTTCGCCGGTTTATTTTCACCTCACCTCCCACCATCCCCTCCCATCGGTTTATTTTTGCCTCATCTCCCACCATCCCCTCCCACCGATTTATTTTCGCCTCACCACTAGTAGAAAAAGGGTCAAACGTGAAGCACATTAGTGCCGGTTTGTATTTGAGCCGGCACAAATGTATACATTAGTGCCGGTTCCAACGGCTAGCCGGGCCGCTCTCATTAGTACCGGTTCGTGGCTAACCTTTAGCACCGGTTCGTTCCACGAACCGGTACTAGTGAGAGTGGTGGCAGGATGTTGTCAGTCTGGGGCCCCTCCAGCACCTTTAGTACCGGTTCTTGGCACGAACCAGTACTAAAGGTCGTCCTACATAAACCCTTCGTCCACCCGAGCTCGCTCTGTTCTTCCCCTTTCCCCTCTCCTCTCTGTTCTTCCCCTCTTCCTCTCGAGCTCATCACACATTTTGCCCAAAATTTGTCAAGATTTGAAGGCCCCCATCCATTCAAATGATCACAAAGGTTAGCAACTTTGTCCTTTCATCTCTCATTGCTATATTAGCTCTTGCAATGCTTTATATAGTTATTAATTTGTGAGTTTAGTAATTTGGGAGGAAATATATATATGTGCTAGTATTTGATTTATATGCAATTTGAGGTTAAAATAACACTTAGTTTGCATATGTAGGTGTGGATTACTTAGTGCCTTCTAAATCTCCGTCGTAACCATCGTCGATCGCCCACACCGTCCCGTCGCCGGCACCACCTTGTGGTGAGCCTCTTGTTCATGAAATTTTATATAAAAAATTGATGTTTGTGTGATTTGGATATATAGTTACTCGTATAATAATTATCTTACCCGTACATTGTTTGTTATACATAGTGCCATTGTTTTGATATCCGTCCCCGTCGGCCCTCTTCCTTGTTATGATTCGGATGTGGTATATTCTCTTTTAAAACTATTTGTTGCATTTCGTGTTTATGACAAATTATGCCCATCAAGTTGACATAGATATTTTTATCTAGGAGGTATGTGAACCAGAAATTCCAACCGACCCTATTGTCGAGAGGTTAAATTTAGTTGAAAGAGAAAACGAGTACTTGAAAGAAAAATTGAAAAGAATTGAGGGGGAGAAGATGGAATTGGAGTTGCATGTTGCCGATGTCGTCGATGATCACAAGATCAAGAAGGAGAAAATGCGCTTGAAGATTAGAAAGATTAGAAAATATGCTGTTGGATCAATTGTTACCTTAGTTGCGATCTTGATCGCATTTGTTGTTGCATTTAAATGCTTTAGCTAGAGAGTTATTTGTTTGTTGCATTTAAGTATTGTATGAACTTTATGTATGAACTTGTATTAATTTGGTCTATTCAGTGTTGTGTAATGAAGATGAGCCGGCAATGGATGTACGATGACCGATGCTCTCCCCAGTTTGTTGAGGGCGTGCATACTTTTCTGCTTGCGGCTGAGGCAAACAAGCGGGCGGATGGTTTTATGCCTTGTCCATGTGCTGGCTGTAAGAATGGTCGCAATTACTCTACGTCAAGAACCATTCACGCCCACCTGTTTGAGTCCGATTTCATGCCCCACTATAATGTTTGGACCAAACACGGAGAAAGAGGGGTTATGATGAAAGACAATGAAGAAGAAGAGGACGACGACAGCTATCCTGGCCATGGGTTCCCTGAATACGATGATACAACAATGGGGGAAGAAGCTGAGACGGTAATGCGGGAAGAAGCTGAGCCGGCAATGCGGGAAGAAGCTGAAGAAGAGGCATCAGATGAGCCCGTTGATGATCTAGGTCGGGCCATTGCCGATGCAAAGAGAAACTGCGCAAGTGATTTGGAGAAGAAGAAGTTGCAGCGCATGTTAGAGGATCACAAAAAATTGTTGTACCCGAATTGCGTAGGTGACAAGAAAAAGCTGGGCACCACACTGGAATTGCTGCAATGGAAGGCAAAGAATGGTGTATCTGACAAGGGATTTGGAAAGTTGCTGGTAATGATAAAGGATATGCTTCCAAAGGACAACGAATTGCCCGAGAGTACGTACGAAGCAAAGAAGGCTGTCTGCCCTCTAGGGTTAGAGGTGTAGAAGATACATGCATGCCCTAATGATTGCATCCTCTACCGCGGTGAGTACGAGGATTTGAACGCTTGCCCGGTATGTGGTGCATTGCGCTATAAGATCAGCCGCGATGAGCATGGTGATGTCGAGGGCGAGCGCCCCAGGAAGAAGATTCCTGCCAAGGTGATGTGGTATTCTCCTATAATACCACGGTTGAAACGTTTGTTCCAAAACAAAGAGCATGCCAAGGCGATGCGATGGCACAGAGAAGACCGTAAGAAAGACGGAAAGTTGAGAGTACCCGCTGACGGGTCGCAGTGGAGAAAAATCGAAAGAAAGTACGGGAAGGAGTTTGCAGATGACGCAAGGAGCGTATGGTTTGGTCTAAGCGCAGATGCCATTAATCCTTTTGGGGAGCAGAGCAGCAACCATAGCACCTGGCCTGTGACTCTATGTTTGTATAACCTTCCTCCTTGGTTGTGCATGAAGCGGAAGTTTATTATGATGCCAGTGCTCATCCAAGGCCCTAAACAACCCGGCAACGACGTTGATGTGTATCTAAGGCCATTAGTTGAAGAACTCTTACAACTGTGGAATGGAACAGGTGTACGTGCATGGGATGAGCACAAACAGGAAGAATTTGACCTAAAGGCATTGTTGTTCGTGACCATCAATGATTGGCCTGCTCTCAATAACCTTTCAGGACAGACAAACAAGGGATACCACGGATGCATGCACTGTTTGGATGATACCGACAGTATATATTTGAATAGTTGTAAGAAGAATGTGTACCTGGGACATCGTCGATTTCTTCCGAGCAGGCATCCCGTAAGAAAGAAAGGCAAGCATTTCAAAGGTGAGGCGGATCACCGGACGAAGCCTCGCCACCGTACTGGTGCTGATGTACATGATATGGTCAAGGATTTGAAGGTGATATTTGGAAAGGGTCCTGGCGGACAATTTGTTCCAAAGGACGCTGACGGACGCGCACCCATGTGGAAGAAGAAATCTATATTTTGGGACATGGCATATTGGAAAG